CAAGGAACAAGCAGGCTCTTTAGCCAGCAAGAACTGTTCCATTCAACTGACTTCCTAGAAGAGCTACGGGGTTGGACGTCGTCGCACGCGCGAAGCACCGGAGGGAGCGTGCTCCTCGTGACGGAGGAGCGCGGTCTGACACCGATCCACATACCTTCTGAGAAGGTGATTGGAGACTATTTATGTAGGCTTGGAAGGTCCAATTACCTTCTGAGAAGGTGGCAGTGGATCCAATAGGTACTATTGTGTGAACATCTGCTGGGAAGACGACGGGAGACCACGACCACGCCGTTGGGACATTCGATGCGGACTCCCTTCATCTGCGCACACCGGTGTTCCCAACCCGGTGTTCAATAACCTCCGCCCCGGGTCTTCCACGCGTCTTCCACGCATCTTCTGCTTCTGGGTGAGGAGTCAGGAGGAGGTTTTGATCCAAAGCTGCTGGGAGTGTCCTATGAACGTCCCTCCCTTGAGCCCCCCCACTTCGACCTCCCAAAGGAAGGGCTTTGGCTCAAGGTCTCCTCCAATCAGCAGTGCGGGAGTATGGGTGGGTCCAACAGTTAACTGGTGGATCTTCGGAAAGGAACCAGTTACCAGGAGTCACGTTCGACGGGATGCCGAACTTGGAGGATAGGGGTGCCCATTATCCACTCACTGAGGGACTAAAAACCACCCTTTTGTGACTCCTGGTGCCCTGAATTTCATGAAATTCTTTGAAGCATGGATTGGCGGATGTCTGACTCGTGTCTGAATTTCAGGAAAAATATGGCTGTAGGATCTTGGACTCGCCTAACTGAACTTGGCCTCCATTGGACACCCCAAACGGAAGCGCTAGTTCGAAGCTAGAGTTGGTTGTGTGGAACAAGGGTCATCTACAAGTGGTTTGGAATTACAGGTGGGGCTGACAAATGATGGCTGGCCACGCATCAAGCAGTTGGATGCATGATGCATGTCCACACCATTCGGATCGATTCGAATAGACCTGCTCTGGGGTTCTTATAGTATTCTTGAGTCATGCACCCTTCTTCAGCCACCCAAATCGGCAAATGATCATCAATTATCGATGCCGAAGTCCCTGTTAGTTACCTCTGTAACCTTTGTCTGGCCCGCGTCCACTAACATAGAACCTGAGAATTCACCCGATCATTTTCCTCTACAAAACCAGTACGTTTTGTGGTTCCATGTAAATGTGCAGGGGAGTAGTCTTCGCGAATTGGCTTTGCCTGTGTGAAATCCAAGAGATTACGCCACAGGCTTCGCAAGCCTTCACCACATATTATCACCTTGTTTTAATGTATCACTGTATCACACCAAGGCCTTGGCGGACATTCTCGAATTGAACATGTAAATTTACAGTATATGAATTTATCCTTCGATCCAAAAGGAATCTACACTGAGCGACCCTCCCCAGCCACACGGCTTACATGAAAGGCTTAACTTCAAACATTGGTACTATACTCAGTGGATGACAATTCCAAATGGGGCCACCATTCGCCTGCGGACCCGCGGTCCGGAGCCGACAATGCACCTGGTCCTCCCGGTGTGAATGCGAGCGGCGCACAGGAGGCTCCTGTGGCGCGCTCCCAAAACACTTCATGGGACTGGCAGATGTACCTACCCCTATAGGGCTCTAACGACCACCTGAGATGGGGATGGGCTTCGGGGGTCTAACCACTTTGTGAGGATATGGCTGGGAACCTAGCGTACATTCACCCCTCTTCCTCCCCAATGTGACGATGTGTTCTTTTTTTGAACTTCACACGCAGCTGTGGAAGTCTGGGACTCAACAAGAATCATCATCCGGGTCTGTGATCAGAAGTCTAGGTTTTTTCCAGCCAACGCAACACCTGTTCCCATCCCAAGGCTGCGGAGCGTGCCAGATGTTCTTGGGGGTTTTGCGAACTCGAGCTTCAAGCAGCAGCTGGATGTGTATCAACATAGGGAGACATAGGGAGACCTCCTGTCAGAAGGAGAATCGACGTCTCCGAACGTCTCCTTCTTAAACATGCACTCCCCCAAGGCTCTGGAACATCTATCATTTTCGAAGGCGTTTTCCTCACCGAATGGGTGTGGAGACCGTCCTCCTCACCGCGCAGCGTGGCCCTCAAGAAGCGTCGTGCCATGGAATATATGGAATGCCGCGCTCGAGACTCGTCGCCCTTCGAGCGTGAGCCACTGCTGAGCCGGAGCCGTGCGGACGTGTCGTGGAGGTCGAAGCACGTGTGCAGACGTGTGTGATGTCCACCCAGAAAAGGAGAACACGTGTCTTGATCATCCAAGGGGTCATCAATAAACCTCAATTAGATGATCCGTCGTGATCCTGGTGTCAATGACAACTTGGAACAAGTAGTGGATCCTCTGACTGGCCCACTTGTTGGTCTGCCTACCAGGGGTCTCTTTACGGGTCTGCCTGGTGAACACCAGGAAAACAAGCAAAAACCCAGTATTTACCTGGAACCACGCCATAGAGTCATACCCTTTTCAAAGCTGCTTCCAGCTGTTTTGTGTGATCATGAAATATGTCCCCATTCTGCTGGAATTCTCCCTATCTACACCGATCTACCCCCCGCAGACCGCACCGAGTCCAAACAAGCACAGCTCGCGGGCACCACCTTGGAGCTTTCCATCTCCTGTCCGCCGAAGGAAGTGACGACCGTCGTCACGCGCCGCGTGGCGCGCGCCGCGCGGATCCCAAGCCCCCCGCGGTGGTGGACTCTCGGCAGTGGTGGACTCTCAAGAGAGGTGGGAGGGCCTTTGGACCTCGACCGCGCCACCACCTGGACCTCTCCTCCTCCATCGCCTCCGGCGTCGGTGTCGTTTGATGCGCCTGGAGCGAAGTCGCAAGGCTGCCATCCCCATCGGTACTTCCAAGGAGGACTTGGGCCAGCATATTTTCTAGGTAGAATTTTGGGTTGCTTGGAGTTACACGGCAGGCTTGGATGTGACCATGAGGTGGCAAGTTCTGAGAATTCACTGGTGCCTTCCAAATCACACCCTCCAAAAATCAACATTTAGAACGCTCTGCCCAAGTTCAGCCTCTCAGCAAACACACATATTGACCTCTAGTTGTCTAGGACAACATGGTGCATCCTGACAGCTGCTTTCTCACGAACATGGACGATGGACACCCCAGAGGTCATTTGCAAGTAACATCCACAGGTTGCACAGGCATCCAAAGGTCAGTACTGTATCATACTCGTGTCCAATACATCATTCCAATGTTGGTGGAAACTGCCAGTAGGCCTTGCCAAGAGCATAGGAGAGTTCCCTCTCTCTCTCCCTCTCTCCCTCTCTCTCCATCGCCCTCTTCGAGAGGCCTTAGCCAGCCTGGCGAGCCTAGGGCACGACCCAAAACAGTGGAGTACAAACCCCTCAGATTCGGTGCTTGGGGTGGATTTGTGGAGTCTAACTACCGAGGATGTGGGACAGCCCTAGGGGAAACACGTTGGACCGAGTTGGACACATCTTCCAGCCTCAGCTTCGACCACTTCAGCACGTCCTTCTGCGGCCTCCACCGGCTCCGGTGTCGCATTCTTCTCTGGCTCCTGGCAGGCTATACTAGACAAAAGGGTAAGAAAAACAATGAAAATAGGTTCACACACAAATGCGTTCAATCTGGCAGCTGTTGAACGTTCGACTGCAAACTGTGTGCTGGAAATATATTTTTCACGTATACACTTCGACTCACTAGCATGGAAAAAGGAAACCACCCTGTCCATAGCGGACAATCATCTTCCCAGGGGCCCGTTTCCACTTCCATGTCAGTGAGGCGGAGGAGATATATGGATATATCTTCGTGTGCTCGCACCAGCCTCAGGCTCTGAGGCTTCTTCGGCGCTTTCTGCTGCTGCTGCCTCTTGTTTCTCCACTTTCTTGTCCGGTGCCTGCGCACGTGAACAGAGTGCGAACGCAAAAAAACACCTGTCAAACAGCTGCCAAACACATATTGGACACTGGTACACGGCGGATAGACGGCCGTGGTGTAAATCAATGATGGTCGTGGGTTAATCATGTCGAAATGTGCGTAATTCCATTGGAATGATGTGCCCAACGTTTCATCAGTGGAGTCATGGTCAATTCCAAGCAGTTCCAAGCAGATTGCTTGAAATGAGAGTTTCGCTGAGGCGACATTTTCGAAACTACGTAATTAATTGGGCCGTCGGAAAAAAAGTTGCGACTTTCTCAATCTTCACAAGAGCTCCTCCAAGCGGCGCAAGAACTGAGCCGGTGTGCCATAGGTCAAGCTTTGGCGCAGCAACTGAACACAACATCCACCCCATGCAGCAAGCGCAACCGAACGTTAACATGCCCCACCCCACCCCACCCCACCCCCCACCCCATTCCCACACGTAGCATCCACATCCCCCTCAAGCAAACATGCAAAAACCACCGCGTAGAAAACGAAAAATCATAAAAATGCAAGAAAAGACCACGGCCGTCTATCAGCCGTGGGCCAACTACCGAGGATGTGGGACAGCCCTAAGGGAAACACGTTGGACCGAGTTGGACACATCTTCCAGCCTCAGCTTCGACCACTTCAGCACGTCCTTCTGCGGCCTCCACCGGCTCCGGTGTCGCATTCTTCTCTGGCTCCTGGCAGGCTATACTAGACAAAAGGGTAAGAAAAACAATGAAAATAGGTTCCCACACAAATGCGTTCAATCTGGCAGCTGTTGAACGTTCGACTGCAAACTGTGTGCTGGAAATATATCTTTCACGTATACACTTCGACTCACTAGCATGGAAAAGGAAACCACCCTGTCCATAGCGGACAATCATCTTCCCAGGGGCCCGTTTCCACTTCCATGTCAGTGAGGCGGAGGAGATATATGGATATATCTTCGTGTGCTCGCACCAGCCTCAGGCTCTGAGGCTTCTTCGGCGCTTTCTGCTGCTGCTGCCTCTTGCTTCTCCACTTTCTTGTCCGGTGCCTGCGCACGTGAACAGAGTGCGAACGCAAAAAAACACCGCAAGAACGGGAGCCAAACAAACGCTTTCAATCAAACAGCTGCCAAACACATATTGGACCGCGAACGATATTGTCGAAACATAGGTGTGCCAGCCTTGGTTTCTGAGGCTACTTTGGCACTTTCTGCTGATGCTGCCTCTTGCTTCTCCGGTTTCTTCTCCGGTTCCTGCGCACGTTCAGTTTTTCGACCCAGGGCTGGATGAAAGCAAGCTTACAAACGCCTGTGCTCAATCCAGAAACCTTTGAAATATCATTTCGTAGCACTTCTGGTAAGAAAGCTGATTAGACAAAAGGAACATGTTCACGCGCCTTTTGTTCCACGGCTGTTCCATACCGTATTTCTGCCATTCCTTTCTTGATGCTCTTGTCCGCCTGAGAGAAGCACCGATGTTGACAACTTATGTGGGAAATAGCTCAGGTTCTTCTGACTGACAAGCTTTAAAGAGAAACTCTAAACATTCTAAACTGGCCAGGACCTTCCCAGTGACAGGATTGGTAATTGACCTTTTCAAGACCTGATTCTGGGATCTCAAAAGGGCACTGGGAGGGCCCTGGGGTATGGCATTCAGCATTAGCTGCTAGCCCACTCAGCCACAGTGCATGATTGATTTCTGAGGAGACTGATTTGTCACAGAACGCGGCAAATCAAGATCTCCAGTGCTCCAAGTACCTTGTGAGAATGTGCTTGGGGTTGGTTTAGAGGGTCCACTCATACCTTCTCAGGAGGTACGACTGGAGCCGCTCTGACATTGGACGCACCCGACGCTACACCGGACAGCTCCCGCCTCTGGTGCCGCTGCGAGTGCTATACCCGGCACCTCCAAAGAAGCTAATGGACTGGGCACCTGGAGCCACGAGCCGAGAGTGAGGAACGCGCTCCCACGCACATGTCCGGCCTTCCCTGCCTCAGAGCCATGAAATCAGAGTTGTTCAACACGTGCTGGGAAAGGTCCTTCATATTCAGGATGTGGTCTCCAAGACCTCCAATCTCAATTCTTGTTGACCTTGAAGGGGAGGGTGATTAATCCTCTGCAGGGTCTCGCTCACGCTCGGCTTGGTTCCGCGCCTTGACCTCGGGAAGGTCCGACACCTCTCCGCCCATCTGCGCGGTCAAGGCTTTCAGGGCACGTTCCAGGTTGGCGTTCTGCACATTCTGCCTTGGAACGGGCATGTGGGCATGCAATCTGATACATATCTACGCTATCTATACATGTACCATGAATCCATGAATGTATAACAACATCTCGTCATATCATATCACATGCCATTCGTCAAGTCAACCACACAAACTGCAGGGTTTTTGGACCTCAAACAGTTGTGACCGTGTCCTCCCTTCGGCGGGAACAAACCAGGACTCTTTAACAGTGAGACGTCTCTTCGTCGCAGCGATGTGAAGCCACATGAAGCCACAAACGGCCCATCCCTGAAGCAACACCAGTGGAGGAAGTAACATGGCTCCAATTTTTGTGACTTACATAAAGTTATATAACATGTATATTAAGTACGTTAACAAGGTTCTTCAAACCAGCTGGTGGCTGAAAAAAAAGAACATGAGAGGCCCTCTATTACAATAGCAATATAATTTAACAAAGAAATCACACACTTCCACACTCCAAGGTGATCGCCTTGGCCGTCTCTGTTCACCACCGAGCTTCTGTTGGATCAGCGCGAAGAGGCCCTGGACCAAGAGCTGCTGGCTTTGCACCAACAACTGCCTGGGCGCGAGGGATGGGTGTGAAGCTGCGACCATGGACGCGAAGGACTTCCAGGTCCGACGTGAAGGACTCTCTGGGACGTGAAAGATGGTGAGAAGAACATGCCAACAGAAGCAACTGACACATGGTGAACCATTCTGTTCTGAATAGGGAGGACCGCAGGCAGAATGGCCATCGGGTACAGGCAGAGTGCTCAGCTAGGCAGATTGAAGCGTCCGCCACAAAGCTGTGAAGAAGAAGAAGAAGAACACCAGAAAAAAGAAAAGACGCAAGTCCCCCCCCAGCCAACTCGCGATCCGAGTTGGAACGCACCGACCTCTATGCCCTTCCACGAAGTGGGGTAACTGGATGGTAATGGCATGTAATGGCATGTGCAAGTACCAAAAGAAACAGCCTGGAACGCCTGGGTGTACACTTTTTTTAGTACACTTTGCATGGTGGCGACAATTTCAATCGGAGTGTGCTATATTGAGAATAAAACCGTGAACTTTAACTCAAAAGCGTGTACTTTCCAAGATGGCTCAACAATGCCATAGGCTCCTACGCTGGCCAAGCTTTTTTTTCCTGGAGCTGTTCAGTGTAAGGTGACAGGTGACACGCAGAACATGACACAGTTGACTTGCCCACAAGTTCCCAACCAATTCCCAACCGACATCAAGACTTGTCCATGGACTAAAACTTCCGTCAGTGGAAACATTACAACCTAAGCGGTATCTTAGTTGCAATCATTGAAGGGAACAAGTCTGTGCTGCTTTGCGCCGTCACATGGCTCCAATGGCCTCAGACGCTGAAGGAGCAGAACGTCCAATGTGCCACGTTTGAGTTGTATGACAGAACTCTCTGCAGTGTGCTTTTGAAGTGATATACCGATGTGCACAATTCGTTGATATTCGTTGAAGGACCCCATGGCCACTTCATGCTGTATCCATTGATGGCCTGAATCTTGAACGCGACAAAGGTCAAAGCGTGCAAGACCTGTACTACCCGTTACTTAGCTATCCTTTGTATGCATTGAGGATCCGGATCTTGAACACAACATTAAAGTGTGCAAGACCAGTACTATCCTTTTGCACACGCCTCGTGAATCTCATGACATAAAGTCGTTTAAAGCCATGCTTGGCACCGATCGCTGAGGAGATGGCAAGATCCGAATCCACATTGGTCTGGCTCAAGTGCCACTGCCACGCTTGAGTCCTGCAGGGTCTCATTGAGTTGCTCGTATAATAAAGGTTGGGTTGGTCACATTCTTCGGGGTTTTGAAGCCGCAGTTCTCGACTTAAGTGATAGCTATCGTTTCCCTGCCCTTGTTCGTCTTGGCGACATGGCTTCTTCAGAGAACTTTGAACTCGCCCACATGATGGAATCATGTGCCGTGGTGAGAAGCAGGTTCCGAAAGGGAATCTCTTTCCTTCAGTGGCCTTACTATGTCACACGTGATGAAGGTAAAGAAGATGACGATGAAGTTGAGAGGCACCCAGTTTGCACAAAATCCGTAGAGCTGAATGCTGACATACTCCTGTGCATGGCTGACCACTTCGAGGGAGAGTTTGCAGAGGTGCTCTATCTTCAATCACAGGCCTGAAAAAAATCAATGTTCAACTTCAATGGAATTAAATTATCTCAAATCACGGGCTTCGACATCTTGAGGAAAAGTGCATTTGTTTAATTGAAGCCTGCAGGTTCGAGAGCTCTACAAGTTGGTGGGTCACTCGACCAAGAACCCCAAGTCCGATAGCTATGTGGATGCGTGGGATCTTCGCAGACTTTTCACCTTTGCCTACCGGCGTGCTCTTGACTGTCAGAAACGTCGCCAGCGTCCGAGGGACCGGTTTTCTTTCTGTTGTTGTGAGGCTTGCTGTAAGTATACCCGCTGTTGTGTTGCACCTGCTGCCACCTCCAACCAATTCCCTCAACTTTTTTCCAGGACCGCAGAGTGAGGACCCTTTTTGACAAGCTCAACGACATTCGTAGCAAGTGGGCCAAGGACTCTTCTCGGTGGGATCAATGGGCAGTGGAGGAGTGGCCACGGACTGTGGAGAACGATGATGAATATGAAGCAGATGATACCAGTGAAGCACCTCACCAATCCAAAGCAGGAACGAAGACTGAAGCCTCACCTCCTGTTTCCGCCACACCTGCTAGTGAAGCCGTCCTTTCAGGTTTGGAAGAGCATTTTGAGAGGTTGGGTTTGGAGTCCATGGATGAGGAGCAGCAAAGACAGCTTCACGAGGTGATCTCTCAGATTGATCGCCTGGAAGTGAGCCGAACTAAGCCACTACCTGAGTCTTCTTTATGTTTTCTGGACTTCCGAACTAGGAAAGAATGAAACCTCCCATGCAGAGACCCTACATGCAATATGCACGCAGGTACACACACACACATGTGTATATATATATATAACTCATCTTGTTTGCTCCTCAGGTCTACGGATTCGCTGGTTGCGACACCAACACCGGATGCCCGACCTACAAAGAGGAGTCCATGTACCTTGAATTATTTTAGTTTCCATATCAAGGTTGGATGCTTCCTGCTGAACCCTTCCAGTGTAGTTTCCCGACATGAGCGCAGCTTCAGGTCCTTCTTTTGCAGCTTTGCCGGCGCCAAAGCCAGCGGTTGATCCTTCGCAGGCAACTCTTTCAATGCCATCCATAAGGATGCAATATGTTGTCGAAACAAAGAGTTTGATTTCATCCGTGGTCCCAATGTTTTCATTCCAATTAAGCACTCAAATATTTCCAGTCAAAAGTAGCGCACAAAAACAGAACCATCAAACAATTGTTCCAATGAGCTCGTTTCCCAATCAACATTGGAAGTTCAATTCATGACACACTGCAGTTGGAGACCCAGCTCTTGGACGCCGGCGACGCGGAGGGAGCGCTGCCTACACCGAGCCCTTTGAATGCTCAGCCTTTGGAGGAAACCCCAGAGAAGGCTTGGGTCTGTGCATGCATGGTTTGTTGGTGAACCCCTAGAAATCACCCTGAAAAGCTTGATTGAATTATCCTATCAGTTTGGCCCTGAGGTGGACCCTCCTGCACCTGCACCTGCAACTTTGGTTTCGCCGACCATGCAGTCAGACATGCGGGCTGTGCAACGCAAAGGTCTCAAGAGGGGAAGGAAAGCTAAGGGGAAGGGTAAACAGGCAAAGGGGGAAAAGAGTAAGAAGGCAGTGAAGAAAACCACGCTGAAACGCAAGAAAAGCAAACGTGATGTGCTGAAGAAAGCTTCTCCCAAGAAAGTGGCCCAGCCCAAGGCTGAGAAGCCTACTGCTGGGAGCCAATCTGACAATGGAAAGAAACGAAAGCGTGGCAGGGCAAATGGTGAGGAACAGGCTCCTGCAGAGTCAGCCAAGCCTTTCCAATCACGAATTGGTGAGGGAAAAGGTTGGCGATATGAGGTTTTGCCTGACCAGGTCTTTGGATGCACCAACTGCAGGTTCATTTATGGAGGCTGCAAATCCTGCACCAAAGAAAAATTTAGGGGCAAAACTGCAGCTATGCTGCGTCAGGAGATGCAGGAGGCTACTGAGTCTGGTGCGTCAAGCAAGCAGGTAAAGAAACCCAAGAAAGCACCAAAGCAAAAGGTCCTTAAGGGGACAAAGGCGACCTAGTAGCTCAAACCCGCTGAACATGAGCGTCCAGGAAACTCGCCTTTGCGTTGGCAGTGTTGGATATTGTATTCACAAGTGCAGAGTGTTCTTTTCTGATGGTCATGTAAAACTATATGTCAAAAAGGTTTGCATGCATAACCAGGCCAAGATTTCAGCCTTTTTGCCTTTCACCCTACCATCGGCAGTCCTCCCAAGGAACGGCTCATTCACGGATTTGACGACAGTGCTCGATGCCTTGGCCAGAGCTGCGGCTTGAGTGAGGGTGGAGTAAACTTTTTTGGTAGGGAAAGCCTTGCCATTGATACGGGGTTTAGCGTTCTGTGCCACAGGTGGGAATCCCATTCCTTTCAGTTTTTTACATGACAGTACGCGCTGCTCTTACATATATTGTATGGTTTAAATGTTATGTGGAAAAGCATTTGCAAGACATGTGAATGCGGATCTCGCGTGTGCGCTTGGGTACGACTGTTTGACACTTCGCTGTGTGGTGGAATGACTGTGAAGCTAGTGAACCACAGAATCTGCCAACTAGGGAGACTCAAAGCTTGAGAGCTGAGAAAAGTGCACCGAAGCCCAGCCTGCAAATCAGCCCCAGCCCCCGCTCAGTTGTCAGTCCTATAGGTTCTTAAGAGCCTGACTGATGGCAGGTCCAAAGTCGATGAGCGCTGCCTATCGACTTCGACGCCGTTGCGTGAAGAAGAGCAAAGGTGCCTCTCCGCCCTGACGTTCTTTAAGGTTTAGACCCTGCGTTGCGTGTGCATGGAGTTCTTCAGGAAGTCTTTCAATCGCTTGGCAGTTTGGAGTGTCACTTCACTACCATGCATGCAGTTGTCTGTGGCATTTGGAAATGCTCGCAATGTAGCTGGGGCAACAGTGAGCACGCATGTTTCCATGGGCCAGGAACACATTGTTGTGTAAAAGTGACACTCATGCATGCATGTATCTAATTTGTTTGGCTTCCACGTTGCTTCACGCAGCCTCGTCCGATTTGGGAACATGTTGATGCCTCGGGAAGCCCTCATGCGACTCCTCCACGAGCTTCTCAAACTTGATGCGCCTAAGGAGCCCCATCTTGATGTGCATTTGTGGGCTTTGCATTGTGCTTGAGTAAGCTATAGGCTCACCCGTCATCAATGCAATACAGTTGCTTCAAAGGTGCTGATGATGTGCATCGTGTATCTATGCTACATGGAGGGTCTGCAGGTCCATGAGGCAAACGGCACGATCAATGCAACAATGTGAACATGTTTGTATTTCTATATGTGTATATAACTACACATATGCCATATATATATAGAACCACGCTCGCTGCCACTCTGCCCAGGTCTACGATTGCATTGAGGTTTTTGCCGGTGCTGGGGTCCTGACAAGGTGTTTGACCTTGGCCGGG